ACCCACACGCACACACACACACACACACACACACACACACACACACACACACACACACACACACACACACACACACACACACACACACACAGACACCAAGAGTGACATGGACACATTAGTTCTGAGCATTGCACTGCTAACTAACCAAAAATATATGATGCTTTTGCACAATATCAAGACCTTTCACAAGCAAACGGTCAATTTGCAGGCAAGCCTGAATAGCTCTTCGCAATTTTCTGTGATACTAGAGGTAGACTACTCAATAGTTGCTGGAGTTTTAAATGAATTTACATGCCGCTGGGGTTGTCAAAGTCAGGAACCGCGAGCCTTCCTCAAAGAGAACAAAAATTAGTTAAAGTCTCCCCAGCTCAACCATCCCTGCTTTTTCCTGAGTGATAGTTTGTGGAGGTTTATGCTCATCTCAAGACACCCGGTGACTGTCTTCTCAATTTATGGACTAAACATCAACCAAAATTCCATTTCAGATCACTGAAGTTGGCTTAGCAGGTGAAATGTTTTTTTATGACTTTTCTCATGCTGGTGAAATCTAAAAGTGCGTCTTGTTGAGGTTGACCAATGGTAGGCCTAGAACGTTTTGCTTCTTAACTCTGAGAAAACTCCTGTGGGAAGGCATCTTAACCCTTCCTATATCTACATGGTAAATGGATTGCACTTATACGTATAGCGCTCTACAAAGCCTCATATTCCTACAATTAAAAACACCAATGGGTGGTTGCTGCCATGCAAGGCACGACCAGGCCCACGAGGAGCAAATTAGGGTTCAGTACACCTCGACAGCTAACAGACAGTCGAAGTTGGGATGCGAACAGGCGACCCTTCAGTCCCTGCATGACCTGCTTGACAAACCGAGCCACTGCCATCCCACCCCTATCCCCACACATATATGTACATACAGTATGATTTTTGTTTACACTATATACAGTCATACCTCAGTTTTCGACCATAATCCGTTCTGAAAGGCTGTTCGAAAACTGATACCCCGCTCTTTAAAAAAAAAATCTTCATTGAACACGTCTGCTCACAAGGGAACGCTACCCGAGGAAGCGTCACTTCCTCGTGTAAGGAAGGCGAGAGGAGTCAAGTGGCACATTCAAGTGCGCTCAGTTTGGTCGAGAACCGATTTTCGGTCGTAATCTGAGGCACAAAAAACGCAAAATTTTTGGTTGAAAACCGATTTGGTCGAGGACAGAGACGTTCGAAAACTGAGGTTTGACTGTGTATATACTG